CCCGGGCCCTGTCTCGGCTCCTCCGTGGCCGCTTTTCCCCCCGGGAAGGTGGCGAGGGCTCGGACTCTGGACCCGGTGTCGCGCAGCCAGGCTCCTGGGGCATTTGGTCTCGGCAGCCGTCTCCTGCTGGAGGAGGAAACGCAAGGGAGCATGGCCTGGCAGGTGCCTGCGAGACCGGGATCTCTCTGCTCTTCCCTGTCTCCTCCCGAAAGAGCAGTCCCCGGCACCGGTCAGCCGTGCTCACAGCTGGAGAACAAAGTACAGCCGGGGCCATCAAGCAGGAGAAATGAGCAGGGCAACGTTTTGTCCTGCTTTGGGTTTCACTGCACCGAAAGCCGGTGCTTTTCTTCTGCAGGCGAACGGGTACATGACTCAAATATGTCTCTGCTCTCCTACCTGCATCTCCTCTAGTTCTGTTAATGAAAGGATACAGCAGCGTACAGGCTCCCTAGGCATTTTCATATAACCCCTGCTGAAGACTTAGTAAGATCCTCTGTACTGCAAAATACCATTTGCATTGTGGGGGCAGAGTAGCGGGGAAAAGGAGATCTTGGGCCATCTGTGTTTTGCAGGAGTCCTGTGGTGCTAACCTTGCACTGGGAACAGCGGAGATGGACCAAAGAAGAGCGAACAGTCCCCACAGCCCTGCTCGCCCAGGCTTTCCCAGATACAAGACCCTACCTTCCTACACCACAAACTAGGACCACAGTCACTGGGTGACACACCTTTGGAGCCCATCACCTATGCATAGGCTGCCAGGGGATCAAATTCCATCACAGCAGCCTCCAGGGAGGTCTCTAGAAAAGGCTGATTTCCTTGGCTGGTTCATGCAAAAGCACAGAGAGCTGCACCCCTTCTGCACACTCCTTGCTGGCAGTACAGCATGCCAAATACAGTGTGCCACAGTCACGCAAGTGATTTTCCCTGACTCCAGTGCATTCTGTGATTTTCCAGTATCCAAGCTGATTTGCAAAGTGGATAGGTTTTTAACTCAAAAATAGATACAGGTATAGGATATATGCAGCTAATTGATGACATATCTCTACTAAACAACTAATAACATGATGTAGTGCATGCTGCCACCTACAACTTCTGATTCAGGTTTCTCGTGTACTGCAGCTTTAGATTCGTAGGCATCCTTTGCTGAAGGCAGCTAGCATTTTGCGAGACTCCACGAGGGACCACAGACGCAGGCGGCTCTGGCCACATTAGGGAACGAAGCAAACCATTTCTCATGGGCGCAGCCACTTGTTCAGTTGCAGTGAGGATGCCTCGATGCAGATTAGGAACCGGCAGTCACATCGGTGAAATCTAAGTAGCGGCTGGAGCCTCATCTGTGCTAAGGATCCTGCCAGCACAGCTGTACCACTGACAGCAGTGGAATATTTTGCTCAAGTTCTCTAGAGGAATCAAAGCCTGTATTTTCTGTCTCTGGCTCTCCCTTGTTCTGTTCCTCCTCACTCATTAAAAGAAAAGTCAGCCACACAAAGCACATGGTTGCTCTCTGTGTTTAAAAAAAAATATGTTTGGGGTAAAAAACCAACAGCCAAAGCTGTTTTGAAGTCAGAGGCATGTAAACAGTACCTGGAACTAAGTGGAATAATAATAATAATTAGTCCTTTTGTGTCATAAATATGTGCATTGCTGTCTGCTGTTTCATTATGAGACAGCACAACTTCCGAGAATGTGCCTGATGAATATTTGGGGGAACTCTGCCTTCAGCTGCAGCAGCGTACGGCAAGCAGTAATGCCTCTGGCTCTCCGGCTCTCTTACGTAACTGAAATCACAAGTTAGAGCCCAAATTACAAAGCATAAGCATGTGTATAATATTAAGCATATAAATGGTGCCTGAAATTACTGTCCTTTTCCTGTAGGTCTGGCTTTAATCTATTAGTATTTTTACTTCTGCAGTTCTATTGATTTCAGTGTGCACTGGTGCCATTCATAGCGTCATCAAGCCTAACCCTTAAAAACCCCACCATGAAGGCAGCAACCCAAACTTAACTAAGGCCAAAATCACTCTTGCTACAAGTAGGTGCAGTTCAGGTGACTTGTATACCAGATCCCGAGTGTATGCAGTATTAAGATGTTGTAGAAAGCAGAAGATAATGTTCCTGTGGCTGCTTTGCAGACCAGGCAGAGCGGCAGGTTTTTGCACCCCAGCCCAAGGCGTGGGTTAGCAATCGCCTTCCTTTGTGTTTTCCCTCTTTCTTAGAGACTGTTTTTGCCATTAACATGCTGAGCTGCTTTCTGGAGTTTTAAGGTGTTGGGTGCTGATACAGTGAGCGCCTCTTGTATCTGTTTAATCCAATAACATAACTCTCTTTTAATCTCCACGTCTGGGTCAGAGGGTTTAAAAAAGACACTGGGCCAAATCCCCAGCTTGGCTACAACGTGTGGAAATCTACCGAGAAGGCATGAACGTCAGAAGAGATTCGCTGTATCTGCACCCTGTAAAAGAGGTCTCAAGGGGCAGGGATGCGAGTGCCTAATTTCGCAGATGGATGCATATTAACACAAGTGTATGGCAGAGTTAGATCAGATTTCTATCAGGTGAGGTGGATGGAGGGAGGGATATCACACCAGGATCTAAAATATGCTCATCAGCAAATTCTCATTAATTTTAAAATCGAAACGGATTTAATATTTCTTCCTTTTTCAGGAGAAAAACTTGTTTCTTTTCAATGTGTGGCTGCTAAAGGGAACATGATGTTTCATGGACACAGGCAGGGCATGAACAAGGAGGAGGTTTTGCAGGGATTGGGATGATCTTATGTATAAACATTAAAATAAAAAAGGCAAAATTTATCCAGGCACAAAGTCCAGTGGAAATCTAGGGGACAAGTGGACAGCACTGTCTGTAAAGAAGGGTATAAGCAAGAATGGCAAAAAGATGGTCTGAATAAGTCCATCGCATTAACGATTCTCCAAACACATATTTCCTGTACAAAGCTATATGGGGGCAACCTTCGGGGTTCCCCTGTATAGCAAAGGATCCTGAGCTTGAAAAAGGGAGGCAGATTTTGCGAGGGATTTGCACATCATGCAGTGACTCTGGATTGCAGATTTTAAGCGTTACTAAATCGGGGAATGGAATTGTTGCTATTGCTATTACATACCAGGGTATCGCACTAATCCATGCAATCCACTAAGTTGCTGTAGTTTTAGTCTGTGTTTATTTTAGATGAAATTATGGCCTGGACAGTTAATTTTTCTTAGTTTATCCATTTAAATCATATGTAAATAAGATATCAAACAGAAATCAAAACATGACCTGTGTTTTTGGGACACTCCCCATCATGTGAACCTGCTGGTGATGGAGCCCTGCACCCAGTTTACAAGTCCAATTCAAAGGCAACTAAAACCCACAGGTCTTCTTGAAAAGTAGCCCCATTGGCATTAAATTCTCTGATTTTAATGCTACGGGTAGCCTCTATTGCTTAGATTTGAGACTGCCTAGCCATTATGGGGTTGTTTCCACTGGTCCTTTCCTTACATCAAGCTAATTACATATTAACTTGAGGC